ATCTGACTTGATTTCTGAAACGGATTACCGAGGTCCGCAGCTAAGCCTGAATCGCTTCCGCCCGGAACCTGTGGCCTATTTAGGGCACTGTCCCTTCACTGCACGTTTTATAGTTAAGCAATTATCAAAATAAACACAAAGCAATATATATTTGCGTCTTCGGCAAAAAAGGAAGCCACGTTTGAATCATCAAGATTATGAGTGAACCTAGTGCTACTTTGTTCGCTGAGAAGGACTCCCTCCACTGATGTATTATCATCCTAGGTCGTTTATACGCGCTATCTCGAGGAAGCTAAAACCCCTTTGCATCTGTACTGATCTTATGTTGTATACCCGTATCTGTTCGATGAATGCATTACGTCACTTAGAAATTTAATGAAAGAAAGAAAGAGAATTTAATGAAAATATTTGAATGATCTCTCATAAACAATTTTGGTCTCGCGGCAAAAAATGCGTAAAGCTCTACTCGAAAGCGGTCACTCGTTTGTTCCTAGAAGACACGCTCGATCCTTTCTACTGTATTTCCTGAATAAAGTCTTGCAAAGAGAACAGACAAAGGGTTTATTCTACCTAGATTTATCAACTGTTACGTTCGCCTGATCAACTCTGTTACGCAAACACACACTTCAAGTGTTTACAATTGCGGTCGGATAACGCTACGTTATAATATTGCTTGAACTCTATTGACTATAATTTGAACCGATAGTCAAAGTTTCAATACAAACGTACGTACCCACGAATGTTTCATGGAACATTATTTATTAATAATCGGAATTTTCGACATAAAATCAGCAAAGCAACGTGATATTCTATTAGGCCATATTACGTAATGGGTTATTTTTAATAGGACCTGGTATACGGCCTGGTTGACCAACTATTGATAGACCAAACCAGCTCCTCTTATATTCGCTTGATTGAATCTTCCTATTTTTGGCTTCTTTTTTGTTTCAGGTAACGATAACGGCGGGGCAGTTATTTCATATTGCAAAAAACTCCAGCATGTGTTCATCTGACAGAAATAATGGTTACAGCCAAGAAGCGAGCTTACTAAAAATCCTAAGCTCGAAAAAGCGTCGATCTTTTGTAACCAGTAACATTGTTTCATGAGTAGACTTCCTAAATATCTCGGCAACGGCAACGAGTGTAAGCATCATCCGTTCGACAGAGCTCTTACTGAATAAAACGCATGAATAGGAACCTATTGGAAGCTATCTGCTGACGGCAGATACCTTGGTTCGAAGAGGCCGTCGACGGATATTCTGATTTGTTCTAAAATGTGTGTCCGATCATTTATACTAATGCATTCTCTTACTAACCGGTTTTTACTCAATAGGTACGCAAACTCTGGGTGTTTAAGTGTTCGTAACGTGCTTATTAAGAGCTACGTACAACCCCAAATCTGGGCGCTAGACGACCCGGCATTTCGAGTTGGATGATACTCTTAGCAAATTCGTCCGCTTTTATCTGCTGTCAGATCATTGCGCAATCATTGTAAATCTGCCACCTCTAGGAAGATGTTACTACGCCTTTTGAGATCGCTATTAAGTATGGGGGTTAGCCGCACTCATCGAGAGCTTCTTTATTGCAGGCGTCTGCGTCGTGGGGCTCGTATCAAAGTGTATGATACTTGTTTGGTCACCCAATGGGAGACTTCAATTCGGCTATCCATAAGACTGCCTGTGCCTTAGATCACTGTTTGGGCGATCAGCTCGGTAGAAAATACGAGCCGTAAACTACATACGTATTAACACCAGTCTACCAAGTAGGGTGTGAGAGTTACATAGAGGATTAGCAGCAACAGACCCTATTATGAAGCAAATTATCGTTTGGGATTGAGTAAACGTCCGATACGAATCAACACTTCACAGTGAATCCATTGTGCTGTCTTGCTTTTTAGCCTGAACACCAGAAGCGGTATTGTTTTCTATAATCACCCACTCCCCCGGGCGTGCGTAAGCAACACAAGGAATCTACCCCCTTAAAACATGCCACGACACTTTTGTACACACGCTGTATAGTTGAGTATAGAAGAAGCAGGCAGGTGAAGCCGTAGGATATGACTGTAGATAGCTAGGTTTGCGCTACATTGTCCTTAATATTAATAAGTCGGCCTGAATTGTTTCTTTTTCTCAGTAAATAATATTCCTTACCGTATGTTACATAACACCTTTATAAAATAACTGATTGGAACGGAAGCTTAGTATCTGGCTACGCTAAAAAAGCCCAGAGAAAATATATTCTGCTCATTATCTACCTAACCCAGCAAAATCTACGTGTACAGCCTTTTGCAGATGTCCCACTTAAGCCATCTAGAAGAAACATTTCTAACACTTAGCACCATATCTAAATCTTCGTGGATACAATAGAATTAATAATTACGACTTTAAGGTATGGCGATAATTAGGCGATGTTATATTGGTGAAGTTAGCTCGTTCAAGTTACAACCGGAAGTACTTGCTTCGAATTTGTCAACTTTTTTTAGTGATCTATATGAACAGTTGCACCTGTAATGAAAAAAAGTTAATTTTAGGCAACTCTAGCGTTGAAATGTGTCCATATACTAGCGTGGCTTAGGGCGCTTTATTTATCTCTGAAAAATATCTTCTCTAGAGATTTATAAATGCCATTTGTTATTTATTAAGGATGTCTCGTAAGTTAGCGACTGGGAAGAAAATCGAATATCTGCACTCGTGGTATTACGTTTTAACACTGGTCGCCAGTTCGATAAACTAAAGGCGGTTCGATAAGTTCCGATATAAAGAATCAAGCTACATTTGTTTAGCTAGCACAGCAATGATACAAACAGTATCGAATACTAATAGAAGTATAAATTTCTTAATAAAAACTAACGCTGTTAACAACTTCATATATTTTGTGACTGTGCACTTCAAACGCTTCAAAGCTCTACCCGTTTAATATGTTATAATGAATCGAATTATATAGAATAACGTAAAGTTCCTTCAGCTGAAGACGTGTCGCAATATCGCCCTTAGTTTCTTCGCGTTCGCTTCATATATGATGAACCTTTCGACATAGCATTTTCGACTAATGAGAAAAGCTTCCCTTCAATCGAACAGTAGAACAGACAATCGCTTCTTCTACATTTGCACTATTGTTGCACCTCAATAAAAAAACCCAAAGGGCAATGGAGGTGTCGAAAATTCCAGCACTCTTATTATTTATATGAGTGAGTTCAAATATATATGTTTTCTGGAGTTCATGGGTTCTGATGATGAAGCTGCGGAGCATAGGGCAGCCCTTAACTACACATCATAGAACTTTTATATAACACGTTTTGTATAACAAAACATTTGATTCATTATGGAACTGTGTGGTTTTTTTCAAGCCTTAGGTGAATGCTTTCATGCATCACATTGCGCCTACAGGTGTACCCAGTTTACGTGCTACTTGTAGCTTTGAAACGTCCACTCTGTTTGGAGTCGACCTTTACAGCCTGGCATTTGTGTTGCTATTGCATTATTATAGCTAATTATCGCCTAGAATGCTCAATACCTTTGTCATGCCCGGCTTCTCCTATATGTTATTGCGTCTTTCCTGTGACTGGGTCACCTTTGAATCGGTACTAGCTGGCGGATGTCAGACCTTCCTGACGATACGCTCAATGACATTCTAGTTGAGACTGAAAAATATTTTATTCATCTCTTCGTAGGGAGATCTCGCAAACTTGAGTTATTTACTGAGTTCCGCTTTAACGTCCCTTTCATCAATAGCGGGCAAAAACCGAACTCGTTTTGACACGGCAGCAATTAGCCTTCCGTTTGGTTTCTCTGACCTTCTTACCACGTACCGGTCAAATCCATTAACACTTTCAACGCAGCCGACCCAGTCGATACCACAGGTACCTGCTGAGACAACCGCTGTCACAGGTGGTCGCTACCTTCATTTCCAATATCATCTACGGTTAGGCATCGCTAACATTTTGACCACCAACATTTGCCCCTACGTCGACCACCATCACTGGCATCGTTACTATTACCACGACTACAGATTGGGCTTTTCCTGCCTTCAACACTTTCATTTTGTCGCTACGATTTGCCTGAAAGAAGCTACAATCCTCCATTTGCCGGTTTGCTTTAGCATTACCCTATCCGAACCCCTTGCTTCGCCTCTTTCCGAAGGCCGGGAAAGAAAGCAGGGGGCAGCAGACCATTGCACACAAAATTTCCTCTCAGGCGCCTTTCCTGTTTTGCCACCAGCGGGCGGGTGGCAAACAGCCTAGTAGAACCAGGCCACACCACATTACGGCAGACCAGCCCGTGCCGGTAGTACTGATCCGCTTGCGTGTGCCAACCTCAAAAACGCGGCCGGTCACCCAAGCACGATATACCACCGCCATCACCGCTGCTGTCGCCGTCATTGTCGCCGCGACAATGGCTAGCACCATCACGACAACGATGGCGACCACCGTCGCCACCATGAGTAGTGGTGGCAGTTCGGCTGCTGCATCGTCCTGCTCCTCTCTGCTCCGATCTGCTCCGCCCGCCTCCGCAGCCGCGGCCACCACGACGGTCGCCGGTTACGATGATGCCGCTGCTACTACTACTTCGACCGCCAGCTCGGTGGCTGACGGTGGTGCGTGGCCTTTATCAGCGGCGACCTGCCAGAGGCTTCCCGCACACTGTCACATAGTCGCTGCCGCGAGAGTTGCCGCGACGTGCCCCTATCTCCACAAACCCTTGGCTGGTCACCTCTCTTAGCCACACGCTTTACTGTGAGGGCTGCAGGCCCTAAGTGCCCCAAGTTCGGTGGTGGGCCTGAGGCTCGCCTCAAGCCACTGGTCGTGGTTCAGTTAGCCAGCCACCAACCCACAGAGCGCTGCTCTCCCATTGGTCCGCCGCGGCTGTGATGTCACCGTGGCCTCTTCGAGAGACCGCGCTAGCCCTCTCCACCTAGTTTCTGTACGACCTCCTACTGCCGACGACGGCGCAGGGCAGAGTAGTAGCTGCACGCGAGTTGAACGTGACGCGGGTAAACTCTGCCGTAGAAACGAGCGGTTGATCGGCAATAATAACCGATACGAGGTGATCGGTAGTTAATGCCGATAGGTCGTAGTGCGTGTTAGTGAACTGTGGAATTGTGCTTCAGCATCGACTCCGTCGCAGAAGCGACACCGGAATAAGTCTTCCGAAAGCTGAACTGAGCGAAGTTCCTATTAATCAAATTACCAAAACAAACAAGGACCTTAAGTGCGTTTTTATATGGTGACAACGATACGAAGTTTTAACGTGTGGCTTAACGTTGGTCTCTTAACAGCATCATTATAACTTTTTTTCAAGCACGTTTCGCTAGCATTGGTTTGCCTGTATGGTGTTTAAGCTGCTCAATAATTGCCTTTGAAGGGGAGGACCGGGAGGCGCTCGGAGAGAACGACGTGTTCGACTACGAAACAAACAGAATCCCCATTGAAACTCGACATTGCGCTCGATAAAGTTCGGTGAAAATGCGCCAGTCCACGGGGCGACTGATAGAAAAAATGGAAGAAGCAACGTTACCATACGAGGAGTACCTCAACAAGATATTGATTCATCACAAGGAATTAACTCGAACTGGAGCACCCAATATAATCTGCTCCCAGCTGCCGGCACATTGGCGGAGTAACAAATCATTGCCGTCAGCATTTCGTATACTGTCACTCAGTGGAGACGTACCTGATAATACGCAGGTCTCGATAACGGCAGGCAATGACGAAAACTGTTGTCCAGAGTTACGAAACGCCATAGCCACGATGAAGGGCTCGGTAGCAAAGTTCAATGATCTTCGTTTCGTCGGCCGCAGCGGAAGAGGTAAGTACGGTTCGATTCGAAATGCTCAATGACAAATCGGTAGTAACTGATGTTGGTTATACCCGTACATGCAGACGACGGCGGGCTTTTCGAGCCATGTTGAATTGGGAAAATCTAAAAGCTGCTGCCACTCTCAACTAGTTAGGTGCCGGAAGCAAAATATGAGAAGGTCATCGAGGTGGTTATCGTCAACGAACCGGCTGTATATTATTCATATACATCGTTTGGCACATACTACATTGATTCGGTTGATGTTTATGCCGGGTTAATTGAGTTCGGCTCCTCTCACTTCACGCGCTTGAAGCCATTCATGGGCTGAACATTTTTGGATTCGGTTTGTATAATAATAAACCTAACCTAACCTAACATATTCGTCTGTCTGTAATGCATTTAACAATTTATGATTCTACTAAATACAATGCCGACTTCGATTCAATGAATTCACGTCCGACTTTGCTCTTTTTTCTAGTCAAAACAATAACAGAACTGTGATGATACAGTCAAGAGCTTTATTCAGCCATCATCAGCAAAAATTCAATTGAACAACGAACTTCACACATTTGGCGGAGCTACGCACGCCAATAGATAGCAATCATTTTTGTATGATCCATGTAAAGTCAACTCGGAAACTATGTCAGATCGTCAAACGGATTTAACTTCGAGATCCGACCCACAGTTGTGTGCGGTTACATTGAACCCCTCTATCTGATAATGAACCTGATAGAGGGCAAATATTTTTCCTATTTTCTTTTCTTGTGTAGCCATCTACGCGGCTCGACATGCAAAAATTGCGTTGGCGCATGAAGCGGAGGGAAGGCACTTTTAAGTTAGCTCTCTGAGAGTTTCCAGTAAAAATGGCATTGGGGAAAGACGAGAAGCATTCCCTGCGACGAAAGGTAGAAAAGAAAATTACGACTGTATGCGAACGTGTATCATACAAGTGTCTGTCACATCTGTGGACATTTTTTCTCAGTTATACCTCTTTCACATAGGATATAGTGTGGTCAGGATGGCTAACGCGCACCCCTTCAAATACGTTGCCATGGTAAACATACGCATGTGGCCATTGCTGGTTCAACTTGCAAACGATTACCATGACGTATGGTTACTACAAATCATTTGAGAAACTACAGATCATAAATCCAGCAAGATCCGCTCCAGCTAGATCCTCTAGTGGGGGAGGGGGAGGGGGTAAGGCCGTGTCGAAGAGGTGATTACGAGGACTCGTTAGCGCAATGGGAATAAACGAGGGCATTAAGATGAATGAAAAAATGCTTTCGTGTATGTGTTATTTTATTGAGCAATAGAGTGGGGGCCCAGGTTGTCACGCTTCCCTTTCAATTTAAATGTAATTTTGATTATTTTTTTTCTTTTCAAATTCATAACTTTTCAAGTTAAAGTACGCAAACTTACCGGGATTTACAGTGCGTAACCGTAACCTAAGTAATCAATTATACAGAAGAAAAGCCTTTGAAAAAAAGATTGCCTTGACCTGCACTATAGATTACGTTCAACGAAACTGAGCAAACATAACAGATTTGCCTGAAGCCGAACACAAACACAGTATTTACAAATCTGTTTCTAGTTTTGTTCCGTCTCACAAGTTCAGTAAAATAAACGGTCGAATTCTATGACGCGGAAGCATCATTGGGTTGGCGCCAATGACAAAATCGAGGTAAGCGTTTCCACTGTACAATATTCTGGCTTCTACAGTCTGTGGTATCGAGCCCTGATCAAAGGCTGAATCGTAAGAGCTCAAAAAAAATATAACATGCTAATTAAATGGACTATTGCGTCGCTGCATATCACCACTGGTCGATTTAACGGGGATGTTCTTTGTTTCCACGTGACGCAATATGCGGCCTTCGCCTAGAAGATCCGTCGAAATTTTAGATAGACATTATCGGATATGTGAGGCTATATTTAGTAGAAGGGTTCAATTTGGCTGCCCTTGTTAGATCGTTCGCCGTAGTTTTGATTTACAACTTCTTTGGAGGCTGGCTGATCTTCCGCCGTTCGCTCGCGGGAAAAGCATCGAGCCCGAACCTCGAAGTCTAGGAAGGCAGTCGGCTACGTTCAGGGTGAATTTTTTAACGAGTTGAAAAACTTCTTCATTTCAAGGAAGTTTGCGGTTAGCGATTTCTGCGCCGCCAGCAGCTCTCATTGAACGACGGCTGAGCTAGATGAAAAATCAAACGAAGATCTACCAGTCAGACTGCTTACAAGATGCTTCTGTTTTGTGCAGACGACTTGTCTTACTGACAGGTAGTGACGGACGCAAGATGCACGCATTCCGTTTCTCCGGTTGCATAGTCCGGCGATGTTGAAAATCGACCGTCGATGTCAATGGCGGAGTTTTTAAGGATAACAAGTCTACACCACCCACCTTATAATGAGAATTTTTTAGAGATACATGATTTTTCTCATCACTGTGTAAGACAGCAGAATCCAGCCCCAATATCACGATCTCGATAGCCCCCCTCGGCCAAATGCAACGAAAACAACCCGACCTGCAGCAAGGATTACTATTGCAATTGATGCGTCTACGCGAAATGCTATCTGTACATGCGCGAGAATTAACTTTTCCAAATGTGCTGTAAGCTAGATGTTTTTATGGCGTGCATTTAAAAATGTGCAAATGCGCTCTACTAGCCACTGATCCATTCTACCTAACGAAGCCCAAGCCGACCCGAGATATGCATCCTCCTCGTTGCGTGTTTACGTACATGTTTCTTTCTTTTCCTCTCCCTCTCCATCGAAGTAGAATAGCTGAAAGGTCCCGGCTCAGTCAACAGCGTGTTGCCTGCGTCAGGACTTCAGTGGGTATCAAGGAGTGGCCTGCGTATCGGGTTAACTGACGCTTTGGCCACCATTAATCATGCCCGTGTCATTGCAGTAGTCATCAGTGAAGAGCCGCTGCTCTGTGGCGACAGAGTATTGTATAAAGTAAAACTCAAGAACGGCCTAAGAGCAACATTTTCCAGCATTGTGCACCGGGTAGCTTGCGCAGCTTAGCTCCAGCTTGGACCCAGCCCACAGAAACGCCAGGCGAAAACAAGCCAGACTCCCTAAGGGGCAATTTTTCGCTTGTTGACTCCGTTTAGTCGATCACGGCGGGGGGTACTAACGGACACACAGGCACGACCAGTCACCTCACATATGATTGGATGGTTTGCAAGATGCTGGCTTCTCTCCAGCAGCTGCTGCTGCTGCTGCTAGCGGCGCTGTGACCCGAGTTCAAATAGGACAGCATGACTGCGCGCAGCAAAAGTCTGTTCGGGGAAGAACGAGCGCTTTGTTTTGAAATGTTGATGTAGCTGGTGTTGTCGTTGCATTCAGTTATCCATTCAGCTGCTGATGCGCTTGTTACATGCTCAGATCACAGGGGCATTCCGCTTCGCCAGTCCACTGCTTTGGGCAAATACAATAGCCATGAACCTTGAGCTTCAACTGCATCTAGTAGTGCCCAGGAGAGGCTGAAGGTGTAATTTATTTATTTATTGGAAACAATATATATATAGTCCCAAAAAATCTATATATATATATATATATATATATATATATATATATATATATACGTATCTAATGTAACTCAATTGACCATTTTTTTAAGCGAATTATTTAAATTTACTGCCAGAAGACTCTGTTTACTACGGACTCGGAAGGACCTTACCAGAGATGAGACATCTTATTGCTAACCGAATGGAGCACCTGCACACCCATCGTCATAGTGTACAGGCATCTATTAATAAAAATCTTGGGCGGAGAGATTCTATAGAATACCTTGCTCGTTCCTCAGATCTAAAGAGTTTTCTTGCAACGCCAGAGTACCAACGATACTGAAAGATTTCAAAGCTATCATTGAATTTAGGAATTGAGGAAGTAACACCTCCGTGACCAGAACGATCGTACGTTCAAACGCTTGCTCTAGGAATCAGAGTATACGTTTTACGTAGATTAATAATTTGCAAATAAAGTAATGATTATTTCAACCGTGTATATATTTTTTAAGTCATCCTGTATAATTTTCAAGGTTTGAGTTCTCAAGCGATGGTCTCGATTAATTCTCGAACAGGCCCGACATGCAAATAGAAAAAAGGAAATCGAGTTATACAGATGAAGTATTTGTTCATATAAATAAAACATCAAGTTTCGATATCTATGCGATAGCGTTCGTGCAGCCATAGATTCGGAGTTTAACATGTGTAACGTTTTACAGTCAGTATAAACCTGACACTAAACAAAAAAAAAAAATAAAAACCATTATACTCAGTTGTAGGCAGCGCGTTCATCATCTACTAAGAGTGGGTTTGACAGCGAAAAGCAACATAACTGCTGGTGTTGGGTCGGCCACAGGTACATCATAGATACTGTGGAAGGCAAAAACCTTATGAGCAAAAAACTCTTGAAATATTCAAGTGTTCCATATTGTAAATACCCCATGGAGGATCGATCATGGAGAGACCACCTTTCCGGTGCACTGCAACATCTGAGATTATCAACGGCACTTCACAGCATCTTTGACACCGAAGCTACTCGAATGTATTGATCGGCTCATCGTTGTTACACTGGGCTTAGACATTTGCTCCCGTATTGCCCCATGTCAGTATCCATCTTTAATAGCACTCCAGTTTACGATTGACTAATTGCCCTCGGCTAAAAATCACGGCTAGAGTTGAAATTGCCTATATTCCTAGAGATAATAGTTCGATTTATGTTAAATCGTTTATATTGTCATATTTGTACGTATTTATTCCTCTTATTCTTATCAATCAGAATTAACGGTTCTGCTAAAAATAGCTAAAACAGTGCAGCTAGTGATTAGTCTGAATCTATTAGCTGGAAGTTGAGGATCTCGAAAATAGGTTACTGCTGGACCTGCAGATAAGAAAAGATGAACCTCGAATAAGAAAGGAGCAGAACATAATTGTTCTCATTTGAACACGGACTCAGGAGATGATTCCTTTGATTCATACGCTCCTTGTAACAGTGTATTGCGGGCAAGAGGAAACTGAAAAACATCTAGAGCCTAAGAGCACTTCAGGAAGGTCTTTGGCAATCATAGAGCGAAGTATGACATATCTCTAGTTCAATAACACGTGATGAAGCAGGATTACTCACATTGGCTATAAAGTCCCCTGAATGTCTCTAGTATGACAGGCAAGGCCAAGTGAGAATAGACTTTTCTTCCTGCGAAGTCACTGAGTTAGACGGTCATCTCAAGCATGTAGTGTTCGTACTGTTTATAGCCAGTGTTTGTGTGTCATTTAGCTATACCTTTTCACATAGGCGTCGCTCACAAGGCTCATGCTTCTTCTCGACAACCTGTCGCTAACTGAGACTGGCTTATACATACGTTATTTGGGAGCGGTAGATTACAGATTTTAAAATACCCCGCTAGTCTTGGCCAGTATCCTGTAAATGCAAACGGTTGCTTCGTATGCCTCCCCATCCCTCTCGGTCAGACTACCCTTACTGAATGAGACATTGTTGTACCTTTCTAAGTGCGTTTGCGTTCGCAAAATGTATGTATCATCTATATATATATACATATATATATATATATATATATATATATATATATATATATATATATATATATAGCGTCTGCCTCCAGGATGCGTGAACCTGTGAAATCGGCAAGCGACACACGCTACAAAGTGCTTGCTACTTTCAAAAGTCGAATCATTAACGCCCTCTTTAGAGGACCCCCTTCCCTAAACTGAGTAGTTACGAACAATGCGGGTCACAGCTGATGTATTTATTTTGTAATAGCTCCGATTCCGCGTCTCGCTATCGTCTGCCTGCTATCGAACCGCTTAATGTTTAGTGTGTCGGAGAAAGACAGGATGATTTTGAGATGATAGTACAAAACAGCAAACGCATCCCGGCAGAAGCAGAGGCAACGGCCAGCGACGCAGATATATCGAAGGACGGCACAATGGATACAACAACGTCGTTTCAACTATTCTGGAGGTCCGCTTTGTCTGCACATGGCACTGCGAAGCGCTAACAAGGACAAGAGCTGGGAATAGTAGCTCAGGACACTATAAAAACTCCGAAGAGACTTACGCTGAAGCGAACAAACCGAAGATATCATTCTTGAATTGTGTCTTCTAGCAGGAAGGTTATGCTATACTTTTCATCATCACCATACGATAACTAAGCTTCTAGAATGTGTAGCTGCGTTATTATTGTTACTACAGATACCGCCAGTCTACACGGTTCTGAGATTATTTTTTCGTCTTTCCTAGGTAAACTAGAATTACCATTAAGATTGCGTGTTTTCTTTGGAAGATATAATTAATAGTATTCTTAAAATCGAGTAAGTCAACTGATGTACACCGGATCATCTTTGAGCGACTGAATTTAGCGAATTTCTATACACGTCACAGTGCTTTGGCAATAGAATTGAAACAGCGCACAATCATGCATGGCCGATTTACAACACAGGACCATCATGCCGCTGTTCGGCCTATGCAAAGCCAGCGCGAAATTTTTTTTTTGTCCTAAACCAACGTTGGTCACTTCCTTATGTTTCGAATTAGCCAAGTAAACGTCGTAGAGATGCTAAAATCAGAGCTGTGCCCAGCTGGATTGGCGCCATAGTGATACTGGACCTTTCAACATCTCTGCGGACATCACGCATTCAGCCGCCCCACTCCGATGCAAAAAGATAATCCGTGTATTGTACACGTATATTGTTGGCTAGTTTTGCCTCATCAATTAGGATTGCATCGCAGGCTTTCGATTGAGCTATCATTGCTAGCATATGAGCATGTGTCTATGTGTTCGTATATCCGACACCCCAACGGTATATGACTTACTGATTCGCAAGAAAAGAGACGCTCAGAGTGCGAGCGTCCGACGAGATAGGGACTAGCAATCATTTGTTATTGGCACGCAATGGTCGAATGTTGCGCAGTGCCGATGCTCTTGTCCGACACACGCGCCGTCCAACAGAACTATGTTCTGGTCCAGCAATGTAGTATGTTGGGTCCCAAGTTCATCGTTAGACTGTGATCTTTTCATAGGGCAAAGATGAAGCGGTGTTGTGTGGGCGGCGGCACCAATACTGAATTGAAGGCGTGTCGCGGCACTGCGTTATAGCAGTTATACTAACTGTAGTTGAACAAAGTGGTCCTGCACCGACAACTTCGTCATTCTCTATACGGCATCTCCTTTTATCGTTCTGCCACTTCCTTTACCACCATCACCAGCGCCACCGTTACTGGTAGCAGCGCACGCCCGACTGTGCTCGATGGAAGCGCACGCAAGGAAAAGGCAGATGTCTAGATGCTGGAAGTGATGAAGATGACCGAGGTGCGCAGTGGCGCGAGAGAAAATCCATTTGTTTGAACTGCTCGACACGGTTCAGTAACGTTTCGCGCTGGCGAAGCCTACGAATGGAAAAGGAAGGGAAGTTAGGGAGTGCGAAGCGCCCTGAACATGACGCGGTTGCCATTGGAATTCAATGGCGAACGGGATTTGTCATGGTACAGGGGCAGGAAGCGCTGGTACTACTCTGACCAACAGTGGCCTATCAGGACCGGTGGTGGTTCGCTTGGCCGGTTACTCGGTTGAGACCCGCTTAGGCTGTTTGCCTGCCTGACTCGGCTGGTACACATCGAATGACGCTGTCTATGGCCAGCGGTAACGTCTAGACTATAATCAGATCGAGCACTTGGAATCACACCAGGATGACGAGAAGCAATATCGAGCACGATCCAGGAAAACTGGCAGCCGTATCGGCCAGCGACCAAAAACAGGGAATGTTGAAATCCGTATGGTGCTTCACTGCTCTAATACAACTAAGTATCAGATGTTGTCCTTTACAAAAATACCTATTTTACTTACTAAATAACGCTCTATTTTCGCAATATGCACAACTCAAGCATTTTGTTCATCAGCTGTGCCGAATAACTTCAGTCTCTGCTGGAGATGTGGGCACACAATCGAGCTCAGTATACGATGGCGAGTTAACTGTTACATGTAGGAGTTACAAATCATTGAAATTGAAATTGTAATAAAGTGACAATTTGAATCTTATGACTTTTGAGTCCGCTGAGAAACAGTAAGCACTACTTGCGCCGGGTGGTTTAACCGAAGTATGGCTGGACCTCTACTTCAGACTCAGATATGTTGAAGTTTAGAATAGAACGAGGTCATACAATGTGTATGAACTAGACGTGACGGACATTCCTTCCAACTGAGAAACGACGTGTCGGAACGACCAGTACGATATGTACATGTTAATAGGTGGCTATTGTTGCTGACAGGAGTTTCTCGTTTGAAAGTCGACTGGATATATAGAGCTTGATATTGCTCTATACTTGCATATGTAGAAATCGAAATGGACGCAATAGCCACGGGTGTTAGAAACGGTAAAGTTCGATCGAATACGTATACGTATAATAGACGTCCGACGGTAGACCAGCGGAACAGGTTTCGACAATGTTGTTGTAGAAGAGTCAATATTTCTGTGAGAATGTTGCCGACTGCAGTCTGAACTGAATAGTTCCGGGATCTATTCATCGAAATGGTGATAACCTACATCAGCAGATAAAGCGGATATTGTTATAATGCTAGTAAATGCGCAATGCGATCGCTAAGCAGCAGGTACAATGCCACACGGTCGATGCTCGTTCTGGGTCCATTAATAAGGTACTACTATTTCTGGCTAGTTGGGCTTTATTCAGGCTGATATTTAGACAGCTACAAACAGGACTCGAAATGTTTAGAATCTAGAACAGGACGATGGATAAGTCGATTTACTGAATGTGAAACCAGCTTTCGTGAAAAGCGTCGAAAAGCCTCAAACTGCTGTATTAAACAGATATTCTATGCCTTGTAAGTATATCTTTTGTACGATTTTATGCCATGATTAGACTGAATCTTCTACTGACAGAGAAATACTGACTCGCGCTGCTATAGACCAACCGTTGGCCACGATATTAACTTTTCATTTTTAGTACACTCGGCCTCTGTCAGTCCGCCCTCATATACAGAACAACTCCTGCAGGAACAGACACACCTCATGAGTGGCGCCACCATGTCCTGTTATCACGTTACTAAATGGTAACAATATAACAGGACATAACGGACTTTTGTGCAGGTGTCGGTGTACTATAAAATGCAGAATGAGGCGGATATCTGCCAGATGCATTTCCATACAATTTGCTATTGTGTCTAGAAGATGCTTAAAAATGAAAGACAAACAATTTGTGATTTCTTGAGAAGCCATTTATTATTAAATATATAAAGCAGAACTTGAATCTATGAAAATCATAATCTGTTTCAGGAAAGAGCTTTACGCTAACGATAGTGATCCACACGAGTCCGCCACAGATTGCCACGTACAATAAAGCGATTAAGGTTACTGTAGACGGGCCCCGCGAACCTAGAAGTAAGTAAGCTTTATCCGTTTCTACTGTAAAATGGCTAATTAGTTCGATGATTAAGTATAACTAAATTTTGCAAAAACATTAGCGAACCTTATGCACTATACTAAGACACTGTGAAGCCTTCAATAGGTGAGATCCGAACCTACTAGCTCCCCTAGAGTACGTCTGTGCTAAAGTCTGTAAAGGTCTTGTCGTCGGCATTTTTAGCCATTATAGCAAACTAATTGAGATACGTAATAAGTTGTACAGTCTTATTTCGGCGTATGAAATGAGAAATACGATGAGGCTATGCAGTAGATATACTAGTGGAATTAGTACGTGGAAATCTAAGATACGAACCGTGTGAGCCAAGTATGCCTCTGACCGCGTTCGTTTTTGTCAGGACAAGCACCGTTTCGGTTTGGGCCTTACCCATCGACCGGTACACGAACATCCTTCTTTGATCCGCTCATGCCTCGTCAATGGAGTCACTTCCGAAATAAGACGACTCGCTTGCGACCTGTGTCAGGAACACCGGCCGTTGCGCCCCCTGACACCTGGCCACTGCCAGACCTCTCGTCCCGACTTAGCAATCCGGAGGTGACTAGCCCATGGACAAACCCACCAGGTTATACCTACCCGAGTTACTTTAACTCGGCACCACCCGCTGCCCTACCACCAGCCAACCAGACGATGTTCGGTTCCTGGGACGCTGGACTATCCGGAGGAATCTCTAATACTGTCTCAGAGGGACCCATTAATTGTAAGTTGACATTGTGTATGGTTTGATTCTTCAGACGCATAATATTCTCGTTTCATAGTCCATGGAGCCAATACTGCTCCACTTAATATTTGCATAGACATTTTTTAAAAAAGTAAGACTATATCCGCACACTGAACCATATGAACTAATTTAGCGAACTCTTTATAATTGATCCTTACCCTTACAGCGAACACTCCTCAGCCTGTAGGTGTCCAACAGACGTCGATGCCGTTAATGTCGTCGCCGCCAGTAGATTCGACAACCTCATCACCTCTGTCATCATCGCGTTCTTCTCCATCTTCATTGGCCATAGCGCCATCTATCGACCCCACATTGCCCGGCCTCTTTCCGTCGCCCTCTGAAGTGGACAACGTTTTAAACTTCACTCCAACTGGTTCAAGTTTGCCCGTCTCACTACCTGTCACATTACCGTCACTGATTCCACAACACTCACAGCTGCCACCATTGGCTACATCGGTGCCTGAATTTGTAGGTTCGAGCAGCATCAATTCTGGGGTGAACCCTGCCCCCACTGACAAATTGCCGTCTTTGAACGGTCACAGTATGCTACCTCAGAGTGGCGCCTACTTCGCGTACAACCAGTTAATGCAGCAGCAGCAGCAGCAGCAACAACAACAACAACAACAGCAGCAGCAGCAGCAGCAGCAACAACAACAACAAACCAACATTACGTCGAGTACAAACCCAACGGCGCTTGGTGCCGTCGGCGGATATCCTCTAGCAAGCAGCAGCAGCAGTGGAAGTAGCGGCGGATGTAGCAATGCCATAGTTGGGAACACAAATACCTATTCAACCCTATACGCAGCATCATACACCCAGCCGAGCGAAGCCTTGCAGGAAGATAGCCAAGAGTCAGAAGGCCCTTTGCTGGGCAACACTCGCTTGACTGACCACTCTGGTCGAACCCTGGTCGACGCACATAACAATAATAACAATGACATACTCAGCTCAAGTCTTTTGCTAGACGATCCCAGCAGGCAAAGTCATGCGACGAACGTTGTTGTCAGTTCACAGGAGGTTTGGCGGCCGTACTGGGGAGCGGAAACCCCAGGCAAATAAGTATTTTACTATGAACGTATCTACGTCGATTTGTACGTTTAGCGGATTTCTGGACTCAAGACAAAGACCAATGTGGCAGTCCGAACTATCAATGGAAACAATGACGTGCGTCATGCTTGTTATAAGCGAATCCTCTTCTAAAGCAGAGGAAGCACTTATATTATGAAGTGGATATCGGTGCAATAGAAGGGTCAAATCGAGTATCACGAAGCTCAAACCAAAGCCTTAGGAGCAAATGGGACGGCTCAGCCAGTCGACGTTGAGACTGAAGAAGCATGTCAGTAGTTATTAATCCAGTTCTTCCATTCTGTACATTGTATATTGCATACGAATCAATTGTTTGCAGTGCAAAACATGATGCCTGATATAAACAGAAAATATACAGTGAGGTAATAAATTTAGCAAGAAACGTTTGTTTTCTATTTTCCTTGAGTTTCTAGAAAGTACGCAGGATTTTAATGGTCTCGAGTTTATGTTACGAAGTACGCCATCTTTATGTTTAATCACTGACGTGCATATCCTCAATCGACAGATCAAACGAAAAATTTTAACGTATATATACATATATATATAATAACGTTGCTCGTCATCTGAACAATTAAAAAATAAGACAATAGATCTTAAATTGAAGCCGCGCGCTGAAGTTATGCGTGGATATAATTTTACTTCACTAGTATGCATTTGAAAGGAACTCCTAACGTGATCGCATTCAGCGTCACTCATAAATTGGCTAACCCACTTGAGTCATCTTGGAGTTGCTGTTACAGCCTTGGAGAGTCTAAGGATTAAATCAAGCGCCTCAATCATCGGCTATAAGGTTAGTGAACAAATATTTGATCTAAATAGAATATTAATATGGTCATAACTAGCTCTCTGTATCAGCCATTCCCCTTAACGGTTTCCTGCATGATGTTCTAGCCTAAACGAGTGCGCATTCGGCTTATATGGCGCACCCTTCATGAATAGATGGATTTGACACGGACATATATCCCGAACGTACTTACACAAGAGAAGAGCAGACGAGAAGTTTAACTTTATCATCCGTTGATTCTTCGTTTCCTGTTATCTTCTTTGTAAAGTGGTTACATAGTGGCGGTGTATGCATTTTGCTTTTAATCGACCAGAAGTTTTCGGCATCCCGTCCGATGTTTGCTGGCTCAAAGGGTGTCATCAACAACACATTCATTTCACTCTCCAGTCGTTTGAAGTCTGACGCTTCTTGCCTCAATTTTCCCTCCACCACACTTGCTATTGCTGCATAGTGCAGGCGATAGTCGGTCACTCGAACCCCCGTTTGCAAAATACCCACGTTTCTGCTACTCTACATCGACGAGCCCAGGAAAAGCAGGGGCACCAGCAACTGCATTCTTGCCCTTTTTCGAAAGCCTGTCCGGGTGAATGGACGGACGAACGCGAATGTGTCGACAATATCAGACGGTGGCGCTTATGTTGGTAACTATCGGTCCGCCTGCCCTTTGGTCGTATATGTATACGTTCTGTGGTGACCCACTTCGGCCTGGAGGCCCGCGCTGTACCTCCTGCACTCGGCCATCCGCGACCTAGAACCCTGATTCTAGGAGCAGCAGCAGCAGTAGCATTGCTTCCTGTTCACGAGGTGCGAAAAGATTGGGACTTATGGGCATTGGGGTAAAATGGGGTTTTTGTAGAAAGGTGGTGAGACATGAAGGGGGTTTAGAGCGGCGGACAGGAGGAGTTTGTTCGTGGTAGGACGAAAGCACAGAGGATGGGGCCAAGCAGATTCTTCCTAAATAGGGTAAACCCGGACCGATGGATGGAGTTTTGCGGAGGTGGTGAAAAGCTGGCGTTTGTATAGGGGACGGGGGGGCTAATGATGTCCCTAAGGACGACGAGGAAAAAGCTGACGGCTGGCTATTATCAGTGCAACGGGTCACGGCCGTCGAGTTACTCGAACAGCGGAATTGTTTAACCCGATTAATGACGTTGGGTCACAGCAAAACGAGCACAAGCAGTAGAATCAGGGCAGAGTCGGCTGCCGCCTGCCGCCTGCTTACAGTCATGGGTAAGGCCTGTGATGACGACCTAAGGTGATGACTGTAGATGGCAGAAATACCTTGATATGAAAAAATATTCAACGATGGATAATGCAGTTTCTTGTCCCATTATAAAAATTAACACAGTTGAATATGCATATAACTTAAACCTATACGAAGCAACTTCTAGAGTCTCTCGGACTTATAAAATAAGCTTAAGATTGTAAACCTGACAACCATTTTGATAATGCGACAACCGCTGAGATCTTTAGTTTGAGTGAATTTCATAACTTGGGCCACTTTAACTAGGCTGTTCATTTGAACTTTGGCAACCCTGTAAAGTCTGAGTTTGTGGGTCATTAAAAACGGTGATAACAATATTGTTTCTGATTGCTTCTGTAGTCGACAAAAGTATTGAACAACGTTTTACAGAGAAACCAGTCAACATGCAAAATGCGTTACTACTTTTAATCGAGACAAGAATTTAGCTAGCCAAGGGGTGTATATCTGCCAAAACATAGATTAAAGAGATTTTTTACTGTAAAAACGGTTTACTATTTATGTTTATTTATATAAAAAAAGACATCAAGCAATTCTATAGTTTAAAGGCAATATATAATAAAGTAATAATATCGTCCTTTAGAAACGCACTCAACCCTTTGATAGTTCACTTATTGCTAAATTGTTCTGGAATGGGGATAAGATACTTGGCAAGAATGCTGGCAATCTGGGTTGTTGGTTTTTGGGATCATTCACCGAAAGAACAATGTTTCACGTTTAACTTCGTAACTGCAATTAGTATTGCATCAGACGGCTCACCTTACAACGTATTTTCGACGATCCAATTTGAAATCTTTATGTGGCTAAGCCTCGTAGGCAGCGACATTATCACTGCGATATCGTGCATGCCCACGCCTTCGTTTCGTATCATACCATACAGGAAGAAGCGAAAATTCTGGTCGGGGATAGAAATGAATAGATCGTCGGAACGCCCTTCAAACTGACGCCCATTGAGGGTTCCATTTGCGTCACTGCGTTTCGCGCACCGATTAACATTATTGTATTTGCGTTAATAAGTCCAGAAGGCATTACTTTTTTTTTGACGTGGAGATGTTTTCCTTCGTTAGTTGGAAAAACGTAGCGGGGGTCACTTAGATGCAACCGGAACGATTGATACGAAGTACTGATGAGCAAAGTATTACCATTAGTCAATAAAGGCTATTCAGTATGTACTGTTATAGAAGGGTAAACACTGCACGCCAGAGTAGGAGCCTAAGTCGGGGACGGGGTCGCCCTACCGAACGGTAAAAATTGAAAAATATTATTTGATGAAGTCCAGGAGTTCGACGGTTTTACTTTCCACAACCTGCTATTAGAATTGTTGTTGAAAACAGCTCGCAACACGTGACTCATAGATCATCATTTATTCGTATATCATTGTCATACATTAATGTTATGAGTATTTGCTAGAACGTGATCTGAAACAGGCAAACATTGCAAAAAAAGGCCTGAACTTGGTAAGTGAAGCGCCAGCTTTTAAATAGCCTTCGATGAGCTTCACGTCATGCGCAACAATAAAATAACAACTGTTGTCAAAGAGTGCTTATTGCTAATGCTGCTGGATCGCTGGTTCTGGACAAGTAAGCAAAGCATATGTTTCTTTAATTGTTGTCTCTGCTTTTTGGTTAACTTTTAACTTGAAATGAAGAGCGCCAACAAACTGCCACACACATATCTATATTCCTCACTCCTGTGTCTAGCTAACGTTGGGCCGAGATAGTACCGGCTTTCTCCTTGACAGCAAAAAAAAAACCCCGAAACTTAATAAGTACATTAACTTTTTGGTCACCTCGCATTTCCTGATATATGAAGGTACACATTTAAACTCATCGAATTACATAATTATATACAAAAGAACCGTATGACTTCAGAATTTCGTAATGAAACGCGTTGGTAATTTTGTTTATGAGGACACAAGTTGACCTATGCCAATAAGTCTCACTCTGGGTTGCGCCAGCTGTTATTGACAATAGCACACAAGATTTGTTCTTCGAATAACCTAATGACAATACTAGGTAGAAGGTCAACAGCTGCAATTCAGATGAGAGACTTGAAGTAGATCTGTGTTTGGGGTTTTTCAGAGGCGCGATTTGATCGACATGCGTATAACTTGCAAGTGGCACGAGGAGGTTCTGCTAAAATGCGAAATATATAGATAAAGTAGAACCGCCACTGATTCAGCATCGGAGTTTATGCTATTGTAATAAAATTTATTCATTATTTGGGAAATATTTACAGTTCTCTATGATGTTTCCTACTTTTGCCACTGTTGTTAATTGAACTCATTGTAAACATTTTTTTTTACTTATTATTTTTATTCGATTGTGCCTTCTCGGTCAATGTATTAGCTAGACGGGTATTTCCAATACTGCACAATAATGTTTTCGACCGTCCAGCGGAAACAGCGGCGTTAGAAGGACAACAGGATTTATACAATGCCGACATCACGGCCCTGCAATAAGAATAGCCATAGTGAGTCATTACTAAGCGTTCGAACTATTAGCAGGTTGAACTGGGTTTTGTGACAACAAAAAAACAAAAACAAGATTCTCTCGTGATTCGCTCATGTGCGCTAAGCCTTCGATGTTATTATGCGGTACCAATTTACAGTACGTGTGTACTTCGTATGTAGAATGTGTCCGATTTCTCTGAACAACTGCACAACAAACTTCGAAGTAGTATAGGACCATTTAGTCAATAACATATATATATTGTGTAGACGTTTTAGCAGAAAATGGTGCACAATTTGTTTGACTGACTCAACATAGTACTAGACATTGGCAAGTGCTTTGGGCTGTAACGCGTACGATCTTCAAATACTCATCTTCGTTACTGCATAGCGTTTTAATGTTTCCACTGTATTCTATTACTGCAATGTTGCAGACTCTAGCGCGGGTCACTTCTGAGCACGCGGATTCTAAACGTAAGCTTCTTCCTTGAACTACAAGGCCTGATGAAAATCGTCACCTACGGCAATAACGCTTAGATCGATTATATTATTATGTTACGTTAGCACAAAACCTTATGGATAAGTATTGCATCTTCGGTAACAGTACATATATCCATCCTATTTTCTTCTTCATCTTCGGTACCAAAAATAGATTTCTGTTAACAGTAGAGTGCTTCACATCAGAAAACAGCTAGAACAAATGAGACATGTGATGGTATTAATGACGATGTTTCATATCTAAAAATACTGTATTATAATGGGCGCACATAAACGCGCAGGGACCTTCACAGTGGGCACCTATCATTGTCATTGTTATCTAGCAACAAAATCAGCTGTTACAGCGGGAGCTTTATCTCACACTGAGCAAGTAGGATCTATAACAATGTCCTACAGAGTCTTTGTTTTATATTAAACGCGGTCTACTGAAGAGCTAATCAGTCGCGGTTCCTCAACATTACATAGAGTCCATATTCGAAGACGCGACAGCTCGTTATAATACTAAACTTATGAGCGAAACGTAAGATTCATTTATACACGGCGTACGTTTCGGTCGGAATGAGTGTTCATTTGGTCAAAGGAATAGAATCAAAATGTAAAGGTTTCGTACTAATCAACGCAGGGTCCTCGCACACCTTCAGAAGGCGTATCACAATTCTAAGTTGAGCGCAGCTGACAGCCACAGATACCCTAAGCGCAGCCGCTGCTTCTTCCGATTTATATTGATGGCGGTTCTGATCGTGCTAATTAGTCCGTGCTCGAAGATCCTTAACATTCTCAATGTCCTACTATTTTTTTCATTAGTTCACTGTCTAACAGTATTGTCCAGTCGATATTGAATTTTCTATAACCTATTGTACGATTTATGTTCACGTTTAGTAGACTCTGAGCGGATACTCCTTCCGTGCTCACGCCTTTTTACTGGGATCCCTCCAGCCACCAAAAACGCGCTCGATTTCTTCCGCAACAGCCAGGCACAGTCTGTCTTGATTTCGTCCGGCAACAACCTGAAGGGTTAGGGAAAAAAGTATAAATGTTGAGCGATTCATTATTTTGTTAAACTTCAATGTTATCCAGATGGGGTATGGTATCGGCGCGCCCTTGATTAGGCCATTGAGATCTTCTATCGACTCTTCAGTTTAACGCATACATATATATATATTTACTTGGTTTTTAACTCATCTCGGCGAGGCAGCGTTCGAGATTTGAATTTTGGCGGAAAACAGCAGGTGGTAAGGTTTATATTGCTGTACTATTACCAGCTCCTGTAATTAGCGATGGTGAACGAAACAGGTGTTCTATTTCAGTTATCTATGTGCCTACATATACCATTGTACACATACATATACCTTATGTACATATAAGGTATATGTGTAAATAAGGGCTGCGGCACTAGTCAAAGCCTCGGCTATGGAAATGCAGGGACTGACAGCTTTATCTTGGACGTTTTGGGGCACGCTAAATTAAAAATCAGTACAATCGCATCACCTGTATACCGACTGGAAGCTCGCTGTGTTCTCCTAGGCGGACCGCACATGCGGTAACTGGAAGTCGGAGAACATTGAAGATCCCGGCGTACACAAAGTTGAACCCACGAAATACAGGCGTCCTATGTTTAGGGGCAGGTTCAGGATGTGTCGGGCACAGAAAGACGGCGTCGCGATCATTTAGAAGGTTAGCAAATTCCTGTTCTAACTCGCGCCCGAGGGCAACGTAACGACGACTTGACTGAAATGAAATAATATCGTATATATATAAATATAATAGAAAATAAGTAATTTCGACTTAGTTCCAATTGTGTTATACAATCGCCAGTGCGATATTGGTGCGCCACTATCTTTAATAATCAAGAAACCCTAACACCGCATACTATTTACGACATAATTAAAAAACGAAATTGGTCTCATAGAGGGTAAGACGAATGTATAATGTCACAATAGAGCGAAGAGCATAGATAACAAACTAATTACTAATACATATTTAGTTCATACAATTTGTAATTGTCAAGACCTAGAATATAGGCTCGGATTTATGATAGTTTAGATCCGCTCTCGTCCCTCGAGCTGTACCTTTATATAAAAAGAAGGGCTAATATTACTGTTAACGACTAAATCTCTCTCCTGTTAAGGAAAAATTGGTCCCGTCACCCAAATAGGTCAGGTCGATTTAACGACCATAAAGATAAGGGTTTGCAACTAGCTGCAAGTATTACCTGTTCATTTACTAGAAGTAATATTCTGTTTAGTTATGAAAAACTCGTTGAGGTTGCTCTACTGTATGCCTATTTGACTGAGTTCGAAGGATTCGAAATGGGTCTCTCGCAGCATGACACTTTAGTCTCTCAATATACACAGTATGTACACACCTCGGACTCCTTTGAAGGCAGGTATTTCTCACCAACTGTCATAAATACAGCCGGAAAGGTATGCTTTGACTGACCAGCAGTCCACTTGAGCATCTCGATAAAAGGGTGTGAGATCGTCGACCCAGAACTTTTTAGCACCTCAATCAGTTTCGGACAATCGCCAGACATCATCAGACTGTTCCAAATCTCGAAGGCGTATGTCATTGATGGGAAGTTCCGCTCCTCGGCTGGTTTCAATGTTAGGCTAGACAAGTATTCGATCACCTAAAAACACAACAGCTTTTAGTTCCGTTTGCTCCGAGTGTAGTCTATTTATTTTGCTATTCGCTATTCCAAAGATGAATCGATAGAATTCAAGTAGCTTGGTCAAACGGAACATCGGTTACATACATCGCTTAATGTTCTGCGTACTTCGTTACTGACGGGTGACATCAGGAAGCTTCGATCTTTGATTTCGTTCATGTAGAAAACTCGAATTTGCCGAAGATCGACGGGCTCGTCTAGTCGTAATCGGCCGGTGGCCTCTGTACCTGCTAAAGCTATAAGCATTGGTCGTAGGTCTCGCGCATATCGACACATGGGCCCTGTGCCCAGAAATTCAGCTCGATAATCGACGATCTCAGGATACTGTCCGCTGTTGGATACAATGTCTGTAAAATTAGCCCATGTATTTAGTTGCCGGTTTGACATTTCTACACGGTGATTATGTTCATGCAATGTTTCGCCCACATACACCTTTAAGAAAATAAAATTTTCTATTAATGTAAGAACAGATCAATTCGAATAATGGCTTCAGCGATGTTGGCGTACCTCTGCGCGTAGTCGCGCTTTGGCGAGCGAACTTTATGCTAAAATCGACTATTATGTTCTCTTTATAAAATATATAAAAAAGCCTTGCAGGGCCCTAATGTAAGCAAAAAAGCTTTTTTACATAGCTTTTCAACAACGTAATGAAAATTTTACATTTAGATAGACATTATAAGACGGGCTTTCAAAACAATCGATTTTCATGTCCGGTTATAAAGTTCACAAGTATTTTTTTCAAAAAGTCACCGAGTTAAAAAGTTACGCATATGTTTCACATATGCACCTTGAGTGACCTAACGTGACTTTACTTGCTTGTAACTTACGGTAAGGACGTGACTACTCACTATAAGCACGGTGGTGGCTTAACGAAAATGGCAATACAGGGTAATTGACATATAAGTATGGAACGTATGCTAAATAAGCAAAAGGCGTAAAAAAACACAGTGTACACACCGAAGCAAGGTTATGGAATATTGCAATGCCAAAAACTACTATGGAATAACAGAGGTAATGTAATAGGGTCGTGAAGTAACTGAAATTGAGAAAATCTGACCTTTACGTCAAACTCGGACCAATAGCCATAAAATGTTGGCTAGGGTTTACTGTGTGTGTCTGATGAAGATCGATAGCAACAAAAAAAAATAAACGTGGACTAAAGGCAGGCGTATATTTTATGTGTGTAGTATTATTTATTTCCGTACCCGAACGCTTCTAGGCTTTGCTAATAACCATTGTACATTAAACTACCATATTTGTGTGTTTCGAACCGATTTAAGAAAATATCACAAGGGTAGTTACGACGAAACTGGCTCTGCCTAAGCAACAAGTGTTCTTTTGCTGCATGAGCAAGTCATACCTGGCTGTTGGGTTACAAATCTTGTCTAGACATCGTTGGGCTTTTCAGATACTTAAATGGCCAGAATCTTGTGAAGTCGCCCACCAGAAATCGACCTTACCAATTGAGATATAAATCAATATATAGGTTAAATCAGCTACATTAAGACGGGGTACAGCTTCTACTGTAGTTGAATGAGGGCAAGACCAGCTAAAATAGCCTCACCTTAAATTCAATTCTACAAACTCTATAGATGACTTATCATATCCTGCGCGCTAAACCGAAACGATTTTTGCTTGTCTAAGTAAGGCTTGTAAAACAACATTAACACAACAGACTTCTATTTAGAACACGTTTTTCTGAGAAACTCTTACGGATCTTGTTAGGATGAGGGTACACAACAGTTCAAGTATTGTGTAAAAAAGAACTTCAAAGTATTATACAAGGCTAGTATGGCCTTTGTTTGCTGAAGGACGAGGAAAGGCTGTGAAGATTCATTTCTTTGCTCAGACCGAATTGCAGCTGGGGATGTTTAACTTTAACAACGACAGAGGTAGAAGCCCTTAGGTAGAAACGAGGCGACTCCGTTCCCTGGTGCGACATCATACACGGAGTAAAAATAATTGAACCCTCCTAGATAGAACTAACGTCTTGCGCGGTTGATAATGTATTCGTTTAAGTGGCTGACGGAGGTATCTCGTCTCGAGGATGTTTTGCTTTGGGACCGTCTCGTGATGACGGTCGTGATACCAGATTATCGAATGGACAATAAACGACTACTCAGAAAAGATCCAGCAAATTTGAAAAATTATGTTTAGCGTTAGTATTACGTTGGTTTTTCTATATATTTGACCTCAACAATTAGCTATCGGTAACATGACAACCCTATACGAAGTAATTGTTTTAGGTTTATCAAGATATATTCATTATATACAGTGTACCATATTAGCAACCTCTGATAAACGCCTAATATACTGGTATTCTGGTGCTAAAATACGAAGGGCATGGATTGGCTATTTGTATTTTTTTTACAAGATCAGATATGCAAACGTCTATCCTATCTAGCTTAAACTTTTACCCAGCGCAACGTTATCGAAAATCTACGTCTACTGACAAAAACAACGACTTTTTTCAATTTAAATATATAATAATATAATAATTTTAACTGGATACAATAAAAATAAGCATAGGAGAAGTGTCACGAATGTCGTATGTAGCGGTAGGGCTGGATAATATGAATTTTCAATAATTATACTCTATTAGTTGAGAAAGATGCTTACTCGGTGAAGGCTTATGTCCGTAGACGCCATTGAAGAAGGCTGGCATCCGAATTGAGCCGCCAATGTCGGTGCCAACACCGATAAGGGATCCGGCTGCCGCGAGAAGGGCTCCTTCGCCCCCGCTGGAACCCCCTGCATTACACCGTAGGTCGTACGGATTTCGCGTGCGACCATGCAACTGTCACATTCGAAAACGCACGTAACGTACACAAATCAAGTCTCGCATAACAGAAAAGATTTGGCTGGAATACGTGATTTATCAACTGAATCTATCGAGTCAATATTTAGATATCTATCGGATCCAATTAAAAAAGTCGGATTTTTTTTACATTTACGAATAGCCCATTGGGTTCAATAAACCTAGCTTCCAGCGTTGAAATATACTTGAAAAGGCCTTGGGAGCCTGGGAGTAATAGTCAAAAGTTATAACAGGCCTTGTTAGACCTTCGTTAGCACAGTCTAAGAGCCCCGTTACTTAAACAGAAAAGGTACTGGCAATGGTACTAACCTTATTGTTGGACTCCCACCATATCGCCATTTCGGAAACATTCGTGATGGCGAGCGGAATCGCGCCGGCCTTTCGCATCATTTCGATAGCCGCAGCGTCACGGTCTGCTCGTACTCCCCGACGCGATACTACCCCGACGTCAATTAGTAAACCTGTAAAAGCAACAAGTTAAACCAGCGACAACGACAAGAGGAGGCGGCTTAAAGTTTACGTTGGCCTTCAGTTGACGACGCTATCAGGTAATCAAATACCAAATCGCTCGGCGATACTTCCATAAAACTTGGGCTGCTACTATTTCTATAGCTGTATCTGTATAATGGATAATTTTCGTCTGTTATATCCTGTACTTAGGCATCACCTTAGACGGCTGGCTTCTGGCATAAACTAAAGGGTTTCTTTCGAACCGACATGTTTTGAATGACTAACGGAAAAGACCAAGTGTGGCTGCAAGTTGATGCTTTGCTATGATACGCGGCAAGTGTATGATGGCAGACCTTGCTAAATGACGCTGAACCAATCAAGAGTAATTCTTTATGAACCCAAGCGAACTACGAGTGTCCCGCCTGGACAGAACAAGGACGATAGGCCAAAAAGAAAACCTCATCGAATAACTCTACCCAATTACCTATCTAAACCGCAGCAGCGTGAAACGTACGCATGATGTCCTTTTCAAGTTAGCGTGTTACGAGTACCGGTAAACTTATCCTACTTTGATGTACTTTAATGCTAAAAATATAACTCATTCTGTGTATTGTCGCCATTCAGATAAATAGTCAACTGATCACCAATACTATAAAAAAAATACACCCTTTTAAATTTTCATGTGTGTGTTTCTGTATATTGAACTACCGAAATAAAGATTTACATTTAAAACAAATACTTCACGCTTCCTGCCGTCTGTGTATCTATTTACCTGTAATATTACATAATAGACGATATGGTGGCAGCTTGAGAATCTCGTAGCTAATTATGGGGTTATTTTTAAAAACCGGTTCTGATGATGGCTTCGGCCTACGCGTAATGATCTAAATTACGCAACAGGAAATGGGTTGCCTGAGCAATCTTTTAACCCGACAATGGAGGTGCATCATCATCTCAACGTAGGGCTGGTGTCATGCTAACAGATGATCAAACGGCGGTTGCTACCACTAACAAGAGCAGGTGTAGTTTTTCTAGCTAGAGAGAAGCAGAGATATTTTTCCCGTACGCGTTAAAAAGAGAAGATATAAGTGATCTGACGTTCTCACAATTCACAGAAATCGTGGATATGTAAACATGTACTATTAATTAATTGACCAGCGAACACCGATTTGGTTAATGTGGGTCATTTATTTCACATACTACCTGACAAAGCGGCTATATGAATAGGCTAAAACCTCGATCGACGTTTTTATACTAGTTCTAGCACATATCAGCGACTCACACCCAACAAACCCCCGTAGATACATCTGCTGCCCAAGCAGACCAAAGTGCTAAGCGCTTGACAATCAGTCCCACTGGGGAAACAAAGTTGGTGACCTTATCCCTAAAATACTCCCTCTAGAATAACGAAGGACGGCTCTCACCGAGCATTATCTGAACGACTGCTGCCACTACGCACTGGATTATTTGATGAACAAGTTCTGACGAAGAGACGGGAATGGTACAGGGCGGGAGAACATTTAGTCCCATTCAACAGTTCCCATTCATCATTACAGAGTTATTTTGTAGTCGATCATCTCTGACAAAGTTGCAGATACAGTGTAATTAGGTACTTCCTTCTTGGTTGACCAGCAGAGGCTACTTGTGAGCTCCTCACAGGTTTATACTGCTAAAGAAGGCCGAAAAATCTAAAAACGGCGATTTGTAACTAGGAAAAATCAAGGATAGGTCAATCAGCATTATTTAGTAGTAATATTTATCTAACGTGAAACTCAAAAACACCTTTATTAAGAGAGAATTTATTAAGAATGGAGTATCAAGATTATACTGCATCTAGGCAGAGTAGACCGACCCTTGCGATATATCCAGTGTGAGGGACTAATTGAGCTGTTGGTGTTTTATATTATATTATATTAAAATAGGGGCATTCTTCTTGCTGTTATATTCACACATTGCGCAGACTGACGTTGCTTGCAGGCACTGTAAAAAAAGACATATCCACTGACGCAGGGGCTAATTAACCCTGACGAAATGGTCGGCGAGAATGTTTCAAAGTGCATTTAACTCTTCGTACGCTCACATAGACGTTCAAACCTCACCATGGATGAATTCTATGCCATACGTTAAACGCTTCAGAAGCACCGGATATCCTGCATAAAACGACGCTGCTGTACCTTTCTTGGACTTGGGTCGGCCAACTCGGTATACTCTAAGGTAACGTACCCATCCACTAATGTCCGTATGACAGCTCTCCTACAGTTTTGCCGGTTTAAAAGAGACCTTTCTTTATTTATAGAAGTGAAGACAACTTAGAATATGAATAACTACAACTTATCGAAATTAAACACACCTCGCATTATCCAATCGTCCCGACTGTGCCCTCGTTTTTGCTCTGCCTTTTCCACACAGATAGTGACTGCTTCTCTTTCCGAAAAAGAAAAACCCCGCGACCCTGGAAATCATGAGATCCCGTCTTTTCATACTTTTTTGTCCTAAAACTAATGAAACTCCATCTTAAACTTTCCGCAAAAATTTTCACCCAAAGTAATCTTGAAAAAAAAAACGCAGTTTTCAACCTTAAACTAGACGGATTCACAAAGAAGTCTGGCAAGGAGACACAAATCAACAAAGAATAAGATTGGCGAAGTTTCATGTCCACCTCGTAACAATAGGTGAACCTTAAACGACCCTACAATATGTGTCGTGACAATGTAAACGTGACGAACGAGCATTTGCGATCAATCAATTAATTTCTTATGTCGCAATAGTTTTTGAAAGAACTGTGACAAACCCCCACGAAATAATAGGCTCTTTGGAAAAGGTTTGCCTCATTTGTTCAGAGGGGTCGAAGGAGACACTTTGATAAACTCTAGAAGAAATTTAAAGGACCTAGCTATCAATATTAAGCTATAGATGAAATGTAAATCGATTGCTTTTTTAGTCTTTTTAAGATTTTGCAACAATTACGTTTTAAAATAGTCTAAGATATGGAGCTGTGTTAGTAAGACTTCCAAAGAAAAAAATAAAAACTTAAAGAAGACTAGGAAATGGCGACCCTAAGATGAAATACCGAACAATTACAAACAATAAGAAACATAAGGAATACGGAGAGAGCTCATTATTTTTCAGCCAATAAATCTACCTTTCCTTTCTCGAATCAGTTTTCATTTGTTTTTTGGTAATTTCTCTGTCATTTTAGTCGTTAATTGATTTGAGATTATAGATTATCTTCTAACGGGTTTTGTTCCATTTAATGGGTAGTATTCCATTTATAAGATACTAAAATTATAACATTTTGAGATATCCACTTTATCCGCTGGAGGTTCACGCGAAATTAATTGAAACTTATGGGAGAAAACAATAACAACCAGCTTGGAGAGAAAATATAGAGCTTTTCAACACTGAACGCCGTTGGCCCATAATTATACAGATCAATAAAAAAAATATCTTTTATATATATATATATAGGGCCTGACAATGTTATAAGACTGGCTACAATGCAGAGGTTTATTTTACACACTATTGAATACAATGAAACGTATGTCTATATATATATATATATATATACAGATCTGATGTACTTGCAATTGTCCTTGAAATGCATGTTAGCACGCCGCAGTGTCAACGGAACATGACAGCCTCGTACAGGCCAAGTAAAGCTGATGGAACCCATAAGATCGCACGTTTAATTTTCGAATAATGTGTTGTTCTAGATAGATACTTACATCCGGATTTATCTGTTGTCTTAGCGTTACAGAAGTCACGATCAACGTTGGTCATTTGTCCTGGTAATTTTTAATAAACAGCAGGTAGATAGAGGATATTGTTTATGGAGTTTCCCGACAGTTTGTATGCCAGTACGTACGTACAATCGTTGGTTCTTCGTGGACGGATGCAGCTTCATGAAACCATGTAGACATCCGAAGGAGACAAGGTATGTTCTCGGTGAGGGTGTTAATCGGTCTTCAGTATCATGTGAGAATAGATAAGGTGTGTTGCATGGTATTTCTTGTTTGTGTATGTTAAAAGTTTGTGTACATGACGTTTTTCATTTGTTTGTATTATACGTCACTGGGAGCTCGACAACGAATAATAACAGTGGGCCGAGGCTGTAGCCCCGATCGTCTCTATGATCGACTGGCTCTCCTTTACAGCGTCTTCTATTACTATCTTTTCGGCTCGTGGTTTTTGGGGAGCGAACAAATGATTTTCAATATTGTTCAGGACAGTCGTATAGGTCGAAAGCATTGACCACTGAACGTGAAAGACGTGCTGCTCCTCTGAGCGTACTTCGTGTTGGAAATATGAAGCCAGCTACTGTTCAAGAACACTTGTTCCCTTTTTCGTGATCTCTTGCCAGCTTCATCTCTGATTCAGACATTTTGATGCATCGAAATGTCCTGTAGAACCGTGCCCCGTACGGTAGATTTAATATGAAGGTGGTGATAGATGTGCTCAGCACCAGAAGGAGCCCTTATGTCTCATGTAGGCACAAGTGAGCTTGTCCTGTGGCCAGCTTACGAGCCACTTTTAACTGGCACTGTTCACGTTTAGCCTGTCTGATGAGTTGCTCGTAACGAGCTTCTTGTGCAATCCAGTAGGGACGAATAGCTGCCAATATTGTTGCCTGATGTTGTCTTAGCTTTCTGCAATTTTGTAGACTCGTTTTGGTCAAATAGAAAATTCATATTAGGAGAAAACCAGTCGCCCATGTCAATCTGAACAATCAATAAAAACATTGATCACTTTTAAGACAAGCTGCTAAATGAATTTTTCTGTCCATTCGGTTGCAGCTTCTAAAGTTACCTGTGAGGTAGATCTACAAGTAATCACAAGCCTTAAGTATACTTCACAGCAACTCACATGTTTCGGAAGCAGATTAGAACTATTTACGGAACTTACGATTAGTAAATTTCTGCGAAACTTGTTGCCGCTGTTGCTCGAAGGTAGAATCACATTTGTACTTTTTCTTCTCAACGAAGCGATCTCTCTCATTGTTAAGATACACTCAATTAGGATATAACCATATGTTTTTAATGTTTAGAATTTACTTTAGAAGGTTATAAATATATGAGAACGATCAGCTTCCTGCAGGTATGCGGTCCTAGTTCTTCTGCAGGCAAAACGAATTTTACTATTTGATACAATGTCATTTTTTAAATGTATGGTTTAGCGTCTTCAGTTACTGTTTTGTACATTCTCGGCGACCGGGCATTTTTTCAGTCTATCAAGTCAAACGGAAGTCGAGATGAGCTCCTTGCAGATCCCGAAAACTTAACGCCTGTACTTGTCTGTCGTCGCCTCTCGAGGACCAAAGGAGAGACCAGAGTCGCAATCGAACCAATTCATCGAGGGTTATAAAAGCAGCTCCTAACCAGTTGTATATATATGTGTCTGCCAGACGTCTAGTAGGCCCTACAACAGCTAATAACCTAGTTTTCGTTACGTAGCAGAATCACTTTACACCCACGTTATTTTCCCAGGACGGTGGTACTAACGGGCTGTTTGTCGTGCCGTTCGTTTTCGATCTTGTGCTGCCCGAAGGAGCCATCCTTCCGAAATCTCACACGGAACGCTCCCACGTTGTATGTCGGCATCGTCAGTGTAGTCACTACTAGCGTCTCGTTGCCCTGAACAAAGTATCCGGCAGCATTCTTGTCAAGCGGTGAACTCTTTCACATTACAAACACATGCGGCTATTCAGGATGCTTCCAAATCCTGGCCGCGTCAATTTGAAGGACAGTCAAAGAGTCGGTAGTAACAGGATTACATTTGTAAAGCCCCGATCGATACAGATAAGTCTCCGACTGCCTTCCCGCCCTTTTTGTCATGACAATGATAGAAAATTTTCGACTGACCCAATCTGTATGAATGGCATTAATGTCATTTTCAGTATGTCATACATCAGAGGCAATTTACCTGCACGAAAAATATCAAACGAAATAAATAGTGAGTATTAGTAGTGTAGAATAAATGGTTCATATATCTTTATATACCTTCATAAATCTTCGTCCCGTGTAGAGTTAATTATCTATCACAAATCGTTCCTTCGATAAGGAAGTTCAGCGTTACTGTCTGTGTGCGCATAAACCTTTAACAATATTCTAAGAGAACCATAACTCATGCGAATTGTGATTGGGAACAATTTCAACCAGCGTGGTTCATTTGGAAATTGAGGTCAATTCAAATTTTGCCTTATTCGCGCAGGTCAAGGCTAGCCATTTTGAATGCCGATAAGTTTAGTATTTGGCCTAAATACTTAAGGCCAGTCGGTAACAAAATGGCTCTGTTAACCAACGCGCTAGCTTAGCACCGTAACTACTATATGACATAATTCATCTGTTCTTAATCAGTTTGTCGAACCTGGTTAGTATAAAATATTTGCAATAAATCTTTGCAGGGTACGCAGGCCCAGCTGGGCTCCTACCAATTGTATTGAACCTGGGACGCCAGCGTTTAAAACATATTCCGGTAGATGGAAGAAACTGTACAGTTACATGTGGCCAATTATCGCATGACCGTTTACTACTTCAACACATCGCTGCTATACGCATATATAAGGTGAACTAAGTCACTGGCAGTAACAACAATAGTCTGTCAATAGCACCGACAATGTACGTATAGAACGTATATTGCAGCTGTGCAAGTAACTTGTTCTATAAGTATATAACTTGTTTGGTAAATAAAATATATTTGGGACTTTAAACATTTACACAATTGCTACGATTGTTATATATCGTGACCACCGTGAAGCCCCTTGTTTTACATACGGGCTGTTCGCTAAACGGGCTACGGCATTTTGGCTCTCTGCCGTATACGGCTTTAATAAGAGCCATTTTACACGTATAAGACACCAGTTTATACACGTGTACACACGTGTCAAGAACACTATGGTGCTCCCAACATATGGCAGTAAAATTTAAAAAGAAAAAACGCGCTTATAGCTTCGCGACTCTTGCAACATCTAAAACGACATTTTAGCCTTCCGTATGGCGCTGTTGTAACAAAACTCTATGTGAATACTATTTTTAAGCTGGTGACGACTACGATCTACAGATGTGCCCCTGTCTGACCCTGCTCAGCTTTCACACTGCCATACATGCAACACAAAAGATCGCAATGATTAATGAGGCGTGTCTTGAGCTCTTCGAGGTGCCCGGACCTAATGAGGACTATTTCCCGTGAGAAACGCGCTAAGCACGTAGTGCGAAACAATACACGACGCTAAAAACACGGAAAAGCTGAAGTTGTCTCCATAAGATATGATTTTTGTAGGACGGCCAAAGGCAAAAGCAATGCCAGACTCGTTCGTGTTGCGTTTATAAGGTTGCTTTTGTGACTAGTTCGACCCGTTTTTGCTCTAGGCCACAAAGGAAGTGATTCCTCCAGTGTACGAGTTATCACATGAGAGTCCAAGATAAGGCTGCAGTTTGCCTTATGAGATAGGAATGTGACGTTCTGACCAATCCGATAGGTCACGAGTGTCATGTATGTCTAACGCATATGCGTCAAGCCTTCTGCCAACACGTAGATGGCCCATGCCTGGAGGAGTCGGCAGGCTTGCAAATAAAACGCTTTAAGGGCTTTAGCTGGCTGTCCAGCCATATACAACCCAAAAATGGCTCTTGTCCGAACGGCGCGCGACACGTGAAGAAGGCTGAGTGGAATAACCGATGAAAAATCTCACCACGATATAATAAGCAATAAAATATTATATATTAAAAAGACCTTTGAAATGGTAAATTTCTCTACGCAGGCAAATACGATCTCGGAATGATCAGTATGTAAATTTAGGCAGACGATCAATACTTATAATTTTTCTTTGAATGTGCCGTGCACCGTAATGTTTTTATAACTAATTTTTAGGGATCTCCAATTGACCTATTAAGCCTGGCATAGGCGCCAGCGAAAACGGCCTTGCCATATCCGGGCTTCTTCATATCGTTCGCTGCAGTCGTTTAGTACGAATAGTAAATTCCACATCAATCACGTTGATTTATAGTACAAAGCACAATTAATTTAGCGATGTATAATATATAATGCCATTTTGAAAACGGACTGCATGAAGATCGTCGTACACAAGTGTTTGCTTTCGATTTGTCCTTAACCGAATTAGTCAGCCATCCCATCGGCTGATTTAGTTGTTGAATTAAGGCATTAAAATAAGCGAAGCAAAAATAACACGTACTGATGCAACGGACAAATCATAGGTATCAAATGATTGCAATAAGTTGGCCATAGGAACCTTGCTTCTTTCGTGGGACCTGTTATCCTCTGCCTCAGTATCATCGATGTGCTTGTCGAACGGGACTCTTAAAATGACGATGAAGCTAGTAAACGGATCTCAAACGGTCTTTCAGTGTTACAACTCAGACAATTTTCTGCAATATGAACGATTTTCCCAAATAGATGCTTTCTTGTTTTACCGTTAACATCTATATTATAACAAATGAAGCTGGAAGGAAGCGCGAACCGATAATCAAAGAGGTGAGATGATTATTGTAAATATTGTTTAAGAAAAGCCCCGGATTTCATTACACTCCATAGAGTTGGAAATGTTAATCAAGGACCGAGGATTGAGGTTCCCTATTAGGGAATCTTAATTCGACATTAACATCATTGAAGCCGAAGTCCGGTAAGAAGACGTCTACAATCCTTACCATCAACGATTCACACCGATGAAGCTGTATCAAGGATGCGCAGCCGTTTTCTTAGGAAACAAGAGCTCGCGTATAAGCGTGTCATCTCCAGCAGTGGTAATAAAAATCTTTCTAACCGAACTCTCTATGCATGACGATACGTTCTACTTGATTACAGTAAACATAGGTCAGGGTTGAGAACGGACAAAAGCAAATTAGAAAAGGTGCTCAAATTTGGTTTCAATCATCACTTTACTAAAAACGTTTTAAAATGAGCTAAACGTCATATAGACAATCTAATGTTGATAGCACGATTTCACCTAGAGGGTAAATTTTACAAACCTTTAACTCCAACAAGATTTTTTGTCGTGACAGGAACTCCAAGAAACGGTTTTTTGCGGAGGATCTCATTCCGCTGCGCCTCATCACTTCGGGCTATCAGGTCGTCGACACTTCGCGATTCTTCAAGAGCGTCTTGGAAGCGCTCATCTATCACTGCATTGATTAAAGGATTTACCTCTAGTATACGTTCAATGTACGCCTCCAGTACGTCAACGCTTTTCACCTGTCAGAAAAAAAATGGAAAAATGATATTTCTTGAATCGTACTGTTTAATATTACGTATTGTTGATACCGCGAATCATTAACGTTTACTCAATTGAACAGTTTGGTCAAAGCAAGTAGTAGAAGTTTCCCCTTTGTTTTTTCTACTAGTTATCAACAAGAACGAAGCGTTTTTACGCTACACGTTACAATGAAGTCCTTTTATGCAACCTCAATCTAATTCGTAAATAAGCAGTTTGATAAACAGGTTGCAGAGGTCCACTCCCCTAAATTTCATGTGTACTCGAATAAATATAGTAGATATTATATTAAAAGTAAGCCTAGAGCAATATTGGCGCAAATGATTCGCTGGTTGCTTACACCTCGATGTATATAGTGTCCTATTCATGATCAATTAAGCTTCCAAATACTAGGCCAACGGCATTTCGTGAGGTGGCAGGTGTGAGACGATAAGTGGTAGCAAGGCAGCTGTTCCGAAAACAACAGTTATCTGAGGCATATCCGCGTAATTTGCATACTATTGTATCATTTTTTTTGCAGGAATACTTCAATGTGCTTTCTCTCACTTAGCTTCGTCTAGACAAGAAGCTCACCGTCTACTACTCTGCTTGGCTATTTAACTAGTAAGAAAACCCCACGTTAGTTATGGGTCATCTTGTCAAAATTCGGCTCCGTACTGAACAATTGTTTTAGGCTGTTTAGGTTCTCGAGCCTCAGAACATCCACGTATGGACAGTATTATGATCAATTTAAGGAGCTCGATTTCTAGCAGGTACGTGTCTCATACGGGAATAAACCTTCCCCCTATTTTAACAACAGAGCTATGGTCGAAGAAGGCAAAACGTACACAGGTGGAAAAGAATCTTTCATATAATTATTGCTTGTTTTGTTTTAGTTCTAATTATAATAATTATGGGATCAGGCCCAGAAAAATGGTCATTACTACTACTAAAAATGGTCGCGGCGAAAATCCAGGATACGTGCGAGTATTCCTGTATAGCCAAACTCACTCATAAGCTACTGCTCTTCTTGTTATCGTCGTCGGCATCGAGAGTTTTACGGTTCGAAGCCGGTTTAGCAGGTAAAAAGTAGAACTTTTTTGAGAGGAAGCACCCCACATAGCTCCGTAGCCACGTGGTGTGTTAAAGTGGACAGGACTGTATGCCATGGTATTTCTGTATCGACCGCACGGGGATACCCATGTCGTTGCGTCCTGCATTGTTCTCTCTTAGTCCGCCTCGTGCTTGTCAAGTGTCCTACACCGTTAGTGAGCTGTACGAAGCCACGATCATTATTTTAGCTGAATCACAAAATGTTTACTTTGGGTTTAGAGTTCAATCTCAAGTACGTGAAGGACACGCTCGACACTGACCTTCTTTCACACCTTTTTTAGTGTAAAAAAGCTGCGGAAGCACACTTGTTTACCCTATAGTGAGGGCGCTACAGTTAAAGGGATGAAGGATTATATATGATCGCCCCCTTTAAAAAAGCGATTTTCTAAAAACTAAATGGGGCGCGCTCTTTTTTGACGGTGATGCTATTTTTGAAGTTCGCAAACGATTTGAATTTAAGCTAGACTGTATTTTTTTGCTAGCCAAGCCACTAACTG